TTTTATGTAGGCTGTAGATGTAGATGGCGACCTCGACTAAAGTAAAACTAGTGCCGAGTCAAAAAATATGTTGGGCTCATGCGCAATCGGATTTTTTTTATTTGTTAAGTTATTTAAATGAAATTTTGTATGTAGGCATCTCGAATAAAGATGAAACTAATGCCAAATTAAATAATTTGTTTTGCGCATGCCCAGAAATTCCCTGAAATTTTAGGGTAGGGTTCTTTTTATAAACTGAATGAAATTGAAGCAGCAAGTCAAAAATGGATTACACATGTGCAACGCTAACTGTCTTATTTGGGGCCGGATTTTTACGAAATTTTAAGTTTAAGTTTGCTTGCATCTTACAGTATGGGAAATGAATGCAATTGTAATGCGCTTTTTATAAATCGTTTACAACGAGGTTTACGATTACCTTTTTAACTTCTTATTTGTGTGTTTAAAAATACCTGTTACCAACTAAGAATTCCCTAATATCCAACATAACTGAATATGTTTCTTGCTTAGGTAATGCCCGTGTAACTTGAGCAGCTACCAAAAATCTTTGTCAGTCACCCACAATCACCTGCAATCATTTACAATCGTCTGCAATCATTCATAATCACATGCAATCCTCTAAAATCCGACAATCGCATCGCAATCGCCGGATTGTGGTCGCAATCGCAGCAATCGTAGGGAAATCATGGGGATTGTCGCAATACTGTCACAAAATTTGAGAAGATGTTACCCCCTCGCATTAACTATTAGCCTGCGAACAGTGACTTCTATTTTACAAATTTCTAAATTTGTCAAACCTCTAGAAAACCCGAAAAAAACAAGACAATGTAAGAAACCCGTGAGCGATGTTGATGGTTTCACACAAGCAACGATTCGGAACTCCATCATACGACATTATCCAAGACAGTAAGTTAAATGGTTGAATGTAGATAGGCGTTTATAAGATATTATTTTAAATTAATTTGTGTAGATATTATAAGCAGTTTACGTTTGTATTTTTGAAGAACATCCCATTTGCAAGTTCTACATGAATCAAACATTTATTAATTACTGTTTACTGATTCCCATCTTCTTTTTCCGTAATCTGTGTCACTATACTGCTATATAAATAATACACATTTACCATTAATTAATCTGCGTTTCATAATGTTGCGGACTTTTTTCTCACGTTGGCGGTTGAAGTTATTAACCTACTTTAAACCTACTATAAACTCTTCTTTTCAAATGGATTTAGTTAACAAACGGACATAATCTTTAAGGAATAGCGCCCATATAAATATAATTAAATTTAATTTCATCGAACATTATGAAGAAATCTTTAACGTAAGATCGTTGGTAATCCAATTATAACGGCCAAAAAGCAACTAAAACATATTCCAGTTATTTAAAGAACTTTTTTGAATAATATTTGTATATGACCGCACCGTTATACCATGACACTTCCATCTGGGTAAGCGATTACACTTCCTTTGTTAGTGTAAATATTATGCACTAAAAATTCAGCTTCCAACTGTTATTTAAACGTAAGCACTTAGCATAAATTAAGTTGTACATAAATCAGCGCTGTAAGATTCGAATGTGCTCATAAAAATGCCATTCATTTTATTAATCATTTAAAACTTATAAGTTTGTTTAAAGGTCAATGGTTTTAATTTTCTGAATTCGTGAAGATGTAACAAAATAGTACTATCATTGATCATTTTAGTTGTAGTAGGATGCCATCTCTAAACAATTTCACAACTCAATTGTTTACTCAAATACCTGCTATCCTACTACCGATGTACTTGTGTAGGTATATCCGTTTCAAAATCTTTAATTTCTCATATGCCGCAATAATAAATGAGACACCCTGTATACTAAAAACTTCAAAAGTTTTTGACATCCTTTATGTGCACTGTCAAAATTTTAACGAAATCAAAATAACCGTTTTGCCGAAAAAATATTTTAGTTTTTTAACTTTGACATTTTTTTTTCAATTTTTTGTCATGAAACACAGAAAAACAAGGTCTTTCGAGTTAACGTTGTCCCATCGAATATTGCAACTTTTATTTGAAACTTTTTTCGATAGCTCTCTTTGTTTATAAAATATCTAAACTTTCTAAAAATGGCGATTTTCACTGTTTTCCAATTATCTATGAAACGATTTATTTTTTTTTTAAATATCGAATCGTAATATCTATCAGCATCAAAAACTACACAAGTTTCCCAATTTAACCAAATCTGCATGTAGATATAATAGTAACAAAGACACTCTGTATAGAGATAAGCATATGTACCGTAGAGTGCGTTTCTGTTTAATGTAAGTTTATTACCTAACTAAAAAAGCGTCTAGAAGAAGAGCTAACAAATACAAAAAATAATTCACCAAATACAGGAGACCGTTAAAGGGTAAAAACTGAAAATTAAATTTAAAAAAATTATACAGCATGTAGTTAAAATTGAACCATGCAACTGAAAAAATTCACAAGGTTTCAGGTTGTGTATTTTTATTTACCCATTTAAAAACTTGTTAAGTGCATAGGTACCTAGATCAGATTTAACGATTGTAACATAATTTTACTGTAACGTTGCCAACTAAGCGGAAGAATTCGCAGCTGCCCAATAATTATTGGTTTAAATAAAGTCGCTGTCCCGCGATCTCGCCTCTCCGATAAATTTTTTTCATTAAACAAAAAGATCGTCAGTTTTTTGCCCAAACTGCAGAGGACAATAAACGCCTCCTCATATCTTAATTTAGCACGACCGTGGAGGAAACTGTGACCGACATCGGAATGCCAAAAATCGTACTGGGAAAACTGAACTGGACAACTCTCGCGAAAGCACATACAATGAAATACGCGATCATCGTCTTACTGTTACTTCACCTTTTACCTTGCCGCTCGCAAATTCTGGTTCCGAGATTTATTTTTAGATAAAATTCAAGATGAAATACTCACAGCTCTTAAATTATAATGAAAATTGCCCGATTAAAATTTATTCCGTAATTATTGTCATTATTTATAATTACCGTTTAAGGAATGCGTCAAATATCAAAGTCTCTATAATTTAAGGTTAACCTAAAAAAATTACTCTATACCAAATAGGCAAGCATCCTTCTAATTCCAATCATTATCTAAATCATCTTGCATTAAATTTTATTAAAGTTGTCTACTGTACGTTAAGTAGCTTCTGGGTATGTATGTAATTGATTGCATTAAAGAAAGTTCTCTCATGAAAGTCGAAAGTGAAATAACTTTCCGGAAATTTTTGAAGTGACAGATGTGCTTTACATGCTACAATTCTATTTCACTTTCACGTGAAATTTTGCTAATGCCAACCTAAAAAAATAGAGGTTATATCGACGCATTTCAAAACTTAGTTTCAGCACCGATTATCGCTAGGATTTCGCGAGAAAACGTCAACACAAAACGTAACAGTAATTTGTCCAATCCGAGTTGGCAGCCCTATAATTTCGGCTGAAAGTTCGAACCGAAAAGTTCACTTTCAAGAAAAGCACCGATTGCGCATGCACTAACTACCGCCAATGAAATAACAATGCTATTACAGTAACAGATTGAAGCAGCATCTGGGCCAGATGTCTTCTTTCCTTCTTTTTGAATTTTTTCTGTAAAGATTGCTTTAAATCCAGTAGCCTGTCCTGTTTAAATAGCAGAAGGAATTCTTTGTACCTTTGATTTGAAAGTTGTCAGTTTGTTCCTCATCTCCTATTAAGTAGATTTCATAACAATTTCACGATAAACGTGCCTCAATTCCGACTCACTGTTTGTGTGAAACCATCAAAATCGCTAACGGGTTTCTTATATTGTCTTGTTTTCCCGATTCTGAAATTTGTGAAATATAAGTCACTGTTCGCAGGCTAACATTTAATGCATCTGAAGAGTAAATCTTAAATAAAATAAGTGACCGACCTTCCTAGTTTTTTGATTATCGAAAAAAATAAATTTAAAGCAAAACAATTAAAATATTAAACTACAGGTTGCATAAATTTAGCGGCGGAGAATATACCGTACTGGTACTTCGCTTATTGAGCAGAACGATTTCTTAATTGTAAATGTAGAGGTTTCAACCAATTGGACACACACGACATTAGGAATTATATCTTCTCAGAAACACACGCTTTTTCCACTTCCTCCTTTGGTTGTCTTCACAACACACTTTTTCCCTCCTTCCACGAACATTTTGCGTGCGCACGAAGTACAAGGACGGACACAAAACGGCAGGGAAAATCACATTATGACGAGTAATGACAAAACAATATTGGGAAATTTTTAATTTAAGGAAAACGTACGTTTATGTATGCAACAGCATCCACGACTCTCTGGGACATCAAGCTTGTTAAGTATACGAATTCTTATATTACCAAAGTAATCGCCCACGTCTCTTACTGTTGCGACTGGTAAAGGTGGACCACCATTATCTCTCTCTCGTTCAAAATAACGAATAAGATTACTTTTTCTTGGTAAACCCGATGGCATTTTTCGGTTATATAACTTTTGGTGCAGAATACCGCAGTGAGACGAAAGTTATGCTTCTATAATTGTTTGTTATGAAACTAATGTAGCAAAACTCGATAAAATACTGATAAGCAAAAAAAAACCGCTTTCCACTAAACGTTTTTGGTTTTATTTTTTAAATAACTCACAACTCTCCTTCAAGAACCTATATTTTGTGAAATACGTTGATCAGTCTAACATAAACACGTACCCCCAACGTTTATTCTGTGAAAAATGTTTATTTTGTTTATTCCCAAAAAACAGGATTGATCACGTGCGCGAAAATTAAGGAAAATCTTACTTTTAGTAATCTTTTTTGGCGTTGATGTTTTTGTTTTCGTTTTCAATTATTATAATGCGGTGGTTATTGTTCACGCAATCGTGATCTGTAGCGGTATTTTTAGAGCAACAAACAAAACGTGCGTAAACGCAGTACGTGACTTCTATATTTGTAATTCCTTTGCGCAATTGTCATCTCTCATGTTTAATTTTAATTAACCCAGTAACTCCATGAATGTATAACCTTCGTGCAAATGGTGGCAATACAGACTGTAAGTATATAAATTAATACGTATGGTGTGAAATAAAATCATCTGCAGTTTCTTTACCTGCCATTATTGACTATAGTATCTCAATATTTGAAAAATAAAAAATTGTCAATTTCAGAATGACCCTATATTTTCTTAGTTGAGGGTTGGTTTTAATGATTATGATCTACTGTTTTCAAAATAAATATACGGGGTAAGTAAAAGTAAAAAAGTTATCGGACCTAATCTCATTTTTTTTTAAATGGAACGCCCACTATATTTTGGTCCATGTGAAATTCTTTTTTCAAAAATATAACATACCAAGAATAATATTAAAAAAAGATCCAAGTGATTCAAAGAAATTCAAACAATTTTTTTTTAATTTACAATCATGGTTAAATTTTTTTGAATTTTTTAGTGTTACATTTTTGATAGCAGAATGTTCTATTTAAGAAAAATGAGATTAATAGTTCGCCTGGTCCCGTATACTTACCTTGAGAACCGCAGATCATTATAATCATTCTGAAATTGAGAATTTTTTACTTTTTCCCCGTATCTCTTAATCGAGAAAATTTTCTTTACCATTGCAAGTTTGATTCAAAAAGAGGGCACGGCCTTTGTATAACTTTTTTTGTTTGAAAAATAATTTAAAACAGTAGGTAAATATGTTTAAACTGTATATTGTAACCCGCTTGTCTGTTCATCTATCCGTCATTTGGCGATTCGAATCCTGAACAGCTTTAACTGAAACTTCGTAATCAAATTCTCGTTAAGCTCTAATTAGATTCTTATTTGAATGTGACCTTTCTCCAAAGTTTGATCAATAATAAAATCCGAATGAAAGGATAGGTAGGTAGCTTAAAAGCAATTATGACTTTTGATTGGGCGATGTCATTTTGTGACCAACCTAAAATTTAATGAACTTGTATAATATGGTCCCTTTTTTTAATAGTATGCGTGCGTGTAGCTCTCTGTAGAATTTACACCGCATTACATAACATTATATATTCATTCCCATTTTAGATGCAAACGTTCGTGACGCGTTCTGGAAGAAAATGGGGCGCTTTTCTGGTAGTTTAAGCGCCTACGCACAAACACTGTAAGCAGTCTCTTAATTAATTTTGTTTCAGGGCACGTGAAAGCATTTGTGATTGTTTTTTTGCTGTTAATATTTGGGATGGTCTTTGCATTAGGGTTAATTAAATCGTCGGAATGCGAAACACTATTTCAGTGTGCGTAAAACTGAATAAATTTTGTTATCGTCACAATTACATGTAGATATACAAAGTGTGTACAATATGGTAATGGTTTTTCACTTATTGAAATTCTTACTTCTTCCTCAGGTAATATTCACAGTTCACAGAGAATCTCTCATTACTATGATCTGCAATCTCCAATCAGTTTTCATAAATTAAACCTCGTTTTCAACTTTGCAGTAAATAAGTTTGAGCCCCTATACAGTGCGTTCGAGAAAAGAGGGTTACCTAAAGAATTCTTTTATTTGGCGCGATACGAAACATTTGTCAAATACAGGGTATCTTAAATTGAGTACAATAACATGGCCATCTTGTTACTATAAATCGTTTCGTAGATAATTGAAACAATTTATGACATTACGATCTATCCGATCACATATTGAAACTTTCGACATCACTTCCGGTTTAATCGGAAATCGATGCAACTGTTGCTTTTTAAATGCAATTCCGAGTGCAATTCTTATGTTTTTTTGAAGATGTTTGAAAAGAGCAATCAATTTGATAGACCGGGAGATGATGACACTTTTCGTGGTGTGATTTGCTACAAGTATGGCGACCATTCAAAGGTTTAATTAAGTACTCCTCAAAACGAAAATGGTGCTAACTCTCTGGGAGTGGGGCCGTTATTGCGTGACGATTGTTTAAACATGTCGGAAAATTTAATGATTTTGGACGGCGGTATGGCAGGTTGATTTTCGTGAATGACTGATTGAGGACTTGATGCTCATAAAAAAATGAGCTTGTAGCTAATCACCCAAAAAAAAAACAAGCAATCGACACGTTCAAATGAGTATGGCGGGCTATAAGGCCCACCAGAAAAGTATGGCATTTCGTTTCCATCATTTGTTTTGTCACCGACTACTAGAAAATCTAAAGAATTTTGTGTAGCAAATTGTCCAAAATCATTCAATTTTCCGACATGTTTAAACAATCGTCACGCAATAACGGCCCCACTCCCAGAGAGTTAGCACCATTTTCGTATTGAGGAGTACTTAATTAAACCTTTGAATGGTCGCCATACTTGTAGCAAATCACACCACAAAAAGTGTCACCATCTCCCGGTCTATGATGTACGACAACGTACCTATACGGTATAATATTATGGTTACTTACGAAATGTAGCATGCCGTGTGCTGTCAGGATGCGCGGTGTTTCTTGTGTCAAACGGGGAAGGAGGCGCAACTGTAATGGAAAATTGCGATACCTACATATTCCCCATCTCATTCGACAAAGCTTTCCGCATCCCACAGTCCACAGTGGGAGGGGTATGGGTGTGCGACTCTGATGCTTAAACGTTGCTCAACAACAGGAACGCTACTACAACTGCGGAAATCGACTACTCTTTACGAAATCGCTGAGGTACCGAAACATCTCGGAATAAGTCTCATCTAATGAATCGAGTTGCACCTCTTGATATTTCTCACTCAACGCTCTAATTTAAATTTAGTATTCTCACGCCATCAGGGTATTTCCTTTGTGAACCCGTTTAGTTTAGGTCAGTTATTTCTACAGGGTGATTCCTATAGTACCTGCCACCGTTTGGGAGCGTGTAGGTGGTGCGTAGGGGAGTATTTTGATATAGGACACTTGGGGTCGGAAATCTAAAATAAGGGAGCCAGAGCCAAATTTACCTTCTGGAATTTCGCGCCTGTAGGTAGGCAACCCAACCGGCCGGCGGTGCACACGGAGCGATCTCAGGCGGCGATGTGTGGCTGACACTTGATCAGAATTTTGTTTAAACCCACGAAATCCCGTCTGCAACGACGCGTATCAAGTGAATAAACACTATGGCAATAGTATAATAATAGTTGGCTAGATGTAGGAAGTGCATTGAGAACAACGGTGGCCACGTTGAACACTTGTAAACGTTATTGCTTTTGACTGTCGTTTTCCTTCCTTCCCTCCCATGTCGCTTCCTCGCGCTTAACTCGCTCTGCATCGCTCCGCGCGAAACGTCGGTCGGTTGGGTTGCCTACATACAGGCGTGAAATTCCAGAAGATAAATTTGGTTCTGGCGCCCTTATTTTAGATTTCCGACCCCAAGTGTCCTATATCAAAATACTCCCCTAGGCACCCCCTATACGCTCCCAAACGGTGGCAGGTACTATAGGAATCACCCTATAGTAGGTTGGTAATTACCTTAGTTTTTTATTTCGCTGCTAGAGGTCGTGATCGTTTCTTTTCTGCATACACATCTCCTTCATATTGGATGCGTGCAAATTTTTCTCGATACACCATTACTTTTTATTTGACTTAGTGTCTACCTTAATATAAAGTTTCCGTTTGATTAAATACTGGTTCTTGATACAATCGAATGTAATTAGAACACTTGTTTGAATAGTAATTTAACCATTATAGCTCCGTTGTTTTCTGCGGAAACCTGTTTTAATAATTTTCCAGACTACGAGTTGAGCCTTTTTTTTTGCTAAAAATTGATTAAAATTTAAACATTTGACGTTTCAGATCTAGATATTACAGTACCTAGCTCTTATTGTAATAGTTTGATTCTTCAATTCTTCTTTATGTTCTATCCCTTTCAATTATTTTATTTCTTTAGCTTATCAAGACAAGAACAAGGATCTCTTAGTCTGCATTGTTTCCCCTTTAGGTGAGTATAATGCTAGTGTACAAAAACCCCATTATTCACCCTGTCCCACCTCCACTTTACCTGAGCTTACCGTGTGCTTATCTCGATCCTTGAACTCGTAGGAATCGATTGGCTGTTTCTGTTCGTTCTCGAGTTAGACGGGAATACAAACGGACGGACAAAAGCGTCACATTTATAGGGGATTTGTTTTATATTCGTAAAATTCCCATATTGCTGTAGCAAAACGATTTCAAGTCATATAAAATACTTCCTGAATACTACAACGTGACATAGCAGCACAAATTAGCACAAAATGAACACAAAAGTATGAGGTACTTGGAACTTAATTCGTGATTTTAAATATGTGAACTCCGCACAAAAAAAAGAATTATTAATATTGTATGAAATTAAAGTGGATGTAGATTTCATATTCATGCACCAGTTGTTATGTCGTTTTATTGTGCACGATGCTGTAATTTGCTCTTGATATGGATGAGAGGTTTTGTAGGTAGTTAGTTATATTTCGTTTGTGTTTTTTTAATGACAACTGTTGACTCTTGGACGTAATTTAATGCAGATTGGGAGATAGTGATAGATTTCAGTGGATATGGGATATGAGAATCCGGTAATGCACACTGAAGATCAAAGCAATTTTCGAGGCAATTTTTTTTTTGTTAATTTTCTATTCCACAACTGCACTTTTTACCACATTTCCACAAAAATAAAAAGATGCGCTACTGTGATCACTTTGATGTTCCGACTGTACTGTTTTCAGCATTTTGTTCGTTATGGTGTCAAGGTTTGCACCAAGGTTTAGTTTACTTATTTCAAATTAATTTTTATGAATGAACTACGAGCTATTTAAGAGCTTTCATTTATTTATTATTATATCAATTAGTAAAAAATTGCGACATAGACAACCTATTACAAATAATTACCGAAACATTTTTCTTAGTAAATGGTCAATAGAAGGCGTTGATGTAATGGGTATCCTACCAACAATGCAGCATTTTCTGTATGGCTGCCTACACACGTATTCTCTTCCATTGATTACGTGATACTATGTAAACATACTTAGTAGTGACGTAATAATATACCGTTGACGTGCGTACCACGTAAGGAAAATGCTAATACAGGATGTTCTTTAATTTTTTCGTCAGCAACTATAAGAGTTACAAAGACTGGTGGCACGTCTTTAAATATAGGTTTCGAGCGAGGGGCGATCAACTTCCATAAATCCGTGTACAAATTTCTTTAAGTGATTTATAAATCAAAATAAATCATTGAAATCTAAATAAATCCTTTTAAATCTAAATAAATCCGTTTAAATCTAAATAGATCCCTTTAAATTAAAAAAAATCCTTTTAAATCTAAATAAATCATTTTAAATCTGAGTAAATCTATTTTAATCTTAAGGAATTACCGAGGGGTATTTCACTGAGCAAATATTTGTACACGTACTGCCGAAATTGGCAGGACTTGGTGTACTCCTCCTGTCCTGCCAGTAATTCTGTGTACTGCTAAGTCCTGCCGATGTACTACCCGGTCCTGCGCGTGTACTTCCAGGTACTACCAGGTCCTGTTTGCATACTGCCGTGACCCACGAAACAAAGGACAATCTTGTCGACAATTTTTTAAAAATTAATGCCATAAAATTTTTTTGCAATGATCGGCACTTTATTTACAACGCTAAAAGCTAAGACTCCCTAATTAAAGGAACACCTAATTGCCTTGTATTTTGGGTGACATTATAATAAACTCTTTACTCGCATCTTTATTTAAAAAAAAAGGATGAAAATAGCATGCGTCAAAAAATCGCTGACACAAGGTTAAAATACGTTATTCTAGCATTGCGTATGGAAAGTGACAGAAACCCAATGAGTATGAACACGTATCTGAGCTTACACGACTTTGGGGAAAAGAAAAATGCATTTCATTCCCATCCACATGTTTCGTTTCACTGTTTGTATTGTCATTTTTACCAATTTCCTATAGTACATAATACTACCTCAAAATTCGCAGGGTTCGCCTGAATGGACCCAACCCGAAAAAACCCACTGAGCTTTTTCGGGTTGGATCCACTTGAAAAAACCCACTGGGTTTTGCATTAGTGGGTTTTGTTACGTAAAAGTAACAATCAAATTTTTAACAAGTTAAAAAGTAATCGTAAACGATTTACATAAAGCGCATTTCCACTTGCATTCATTTCCCATTTGTAAGATGCAACTTCTATTAAAATCGTAAAAATCCGGCCACAAATATGAAAGATAGCGTTGCACATGGGCAATCCATTGTTGACGTGCTACTTCAATTTCAGTTTATGAGAAGAATTTCATTTCAATGCTTTTCTAAATAAGAAAGTTGGAACTGCGCATGCGCAAACCTAAATTTTAAAACTAATTTACTATAACTAACTAATAAACTAAGATTTTCCTTTGTTCCAAGCGCCTAAGTATCAAATTTCACTTAAATAGTTCCATAGATAAAAAAGTTGGCACGGCGCATGCGCAAAATAAAATTTTGAAACTGGCGCTAGATTTTCCTTTATTCCAAGTGCCTATGTATCACATTTATTTAAATTCTTCCATAAATAAAAAAGTTGGCACTGCGCATGCGCAAAACCAAATTTTGAAATTGGCGTTTGATTTTCCTTTATCCCAAGTGCCTATGGATAAATTTCGTTTAAATTCTTCCATAAATAAAAAAGTTGGCACTGCGCATGCGCAAAACCAAATTTTGAAATTGGCGTTTGATTTTCCTTTATCCCAAGTGCCTATGTATCAAATTTCGTTTAAATTCTTCCATAAATAAAAAAGTTGGCACTGCGCATGCGCAAAACCAAATTTTGAAATTGGCGTTTGATTTTCCTTTATCCCAAGTGCCTATGTATCAAATTTCGTTTAAATTCTTCCATAAATAAAAAAGTTGGCACTGCGCATGCGCAAAACCAAATTTTGAAATTGGCGTTTGATTTTCCTTTATCCCAAGTGCCTATGTATCAAATTTCGTTTAAATTCTTCCATAAATAAAAAAGTTGGCACTGCGCATGCGCAAAACCAAATTTTGAAATTGGCGTTTGATTTTCCTTTATCCCAAGTGCCTATGTATCAAATTTCGTTTAAATTCTTCCATAAATAAAAAGTTGGCACTGCGCATGCGCAAAACCAAATTTTGAAATTGGCGTTTGATTTTCCTTTATTCCAAGTGCCTATGTATCAAATTTCATTCAAATACTTTTATAAGTAAAAAAGTTTGCAATTCAGTTTATAAATGGTCGAGATGCGAAAAGGGCACTGTGAATTTTGAATCGATTCGATCCAACTTTTGGCATTGCGTATTATATGGCTAAATCTATGCCCATATTGAATTTCATGCAATTCAGTTCATAACTAACGGAGATGTAAAAGCGATCGAACATTTCTAAACAAAGTTATCGTTCACACGGACAGATAGATGGACAGACAAAGGAACAGACGGAGAGACCAACCGGCAGGCGACAGATAGCAATGCAAAATTATAAACGATCTCTAGGATCGTAAATAAACGGCAAAAGTGTAAAATTATGGAACATGTAAAAAACGGTTTCTTGTTTTTTTTACAATAACTTTTTTTGTAAGCGGTACAGAAAAAATTCCTTCCTTGGTACAAGACTCGACACCTTAACGAACCAAATAGCGAAAAAAGTAGAACAATAGCTCTTAAGATAAAAAACTAGTAGCGTCGCAAAGTTAGCGGACGGACGGACGGACAAAGTGGCCACAATAGCGCATTTTTTTTTTATTTTTGTGGAAATGCGCTAAAAAGAGATTTGGATAAATTCATATGGCCTGATAAGAAACAGGAGGACGTCCAGAGCGTCGCAAAAAAATATATTTTTTTACGGACCAGTGGAAATTTGTGGCAATACGCAATAGTCCTTTTGAACTGAAGTGCTAAAGAAATCAAAGTTTACTTAGATTAAGAGTAACATATTATGTAGAATTATGCCCATAAAATTAGGTAGCTATGCTGATACAGAAAAAATAAATGACACCCGTGAACACCGACTTTCTATACCTCGTGTCTCAAATAACTATGGATCCTAGGTAAATACAAACTTTGACAGATCAGGTAACTAACCAACCGATATAACGTAATATCATGGATCCTCGGGGTTATTGGGTTGATTTAGGAATTCGAAAATCAATAATGTTCATTTTTTTATGTATAAAGAACCTGTCTATCAATACCAAATTATAAAGAAATTAAGGTTTTTACAATATTCTTCAATTTTATACATATTAAGGTCATTAAGGATCATTTACAGTTTTGCATACAAATAGCTACCCCAAAAAATCCCTTTTTAAATCTAAATATATCTTTCTAAATCCCATTAAATCATTTTAAATCCCAATAAATCATTTTAAATCAAAAACAATCCTTTAAAATCTCACAAATCATTTTAAATTTCTAATAAATCTTTAAAAATCACTTTAAATCTCAATAAATCTTTAAAAATCCATATAAATCTTGTTAATACCTTACCGAGTACCTTACATCATTTTAAATCACCTGAAATTTAAATGATTTTAAATCGGTGTGCAGTATTTTTAACAGTTATCCGCGCCTCGGTTTCGAGGTATGTCCTTTACGATTTTGCAAAGTTTTTTCAAAATTCTTATCACAAAAGGTGCGAAAAATTCTGATTTTGACGAAATTCTGGGTGTTTGTGAACATGAAAATCATGAAAATTAGTTTTTTAAAATTCGAAAAAAATTCCACTACAATTCTTGGCCAGACAACGAAAATGAAGAGAATTCCATAAAATTTGTTGTGATCTTACTTTAAAAAAAGTTGTGTTTAAATCAATTTTCAAACAAAAGTTATACTCATTTGAAGATTGGTCCTTCGGGTCACAAACTGCCCCTCGCTTATTAGTGAGTCATCTAATTTCGCATGTAGTTAATTGAAAATGTCACAATTATAATATATGATATTATAATACTTGGAATAATGCTTAGTGATTGTAATAGAACTCTAATTAGATAACATTTTCCCACGACCCGCAGCCATGCACAATCTACATCTTCTTGGAATCGAATTTGTATACTTCAATACCATCGAATTTTTTAATATCATTTAATTATAATATCGATTTAAATCGTTTTTTGCGACATTTTCGATTAACTACATGCGAAATTAGGTTACTCACTAGTAGGCGGAGGACACTTTGTAACCCGAAAGCCCAAACTTCAAATGAGTATAACTTTTGTTTGATAATGATTTTAATTGTTCGCCAATTTTGTTTCTTAACTCATCAAGTATTATATGTACATATCAAATTTCGTGGAATTCTCTCCATTTTCGTTGTCCGGCCAAGAATTTCAGTGGAATTTTTTTTCGAATTTTCAAAAACTAATTTCAGATTGTGATTTTCATGTCCAAAAACCCCCATCTACCATATTTCATCAAGATCAGAATTTTGAAAACAAAATTTATAAAATCGGAAAGGACACGCCCCAAAACCTGTTCGAAAACGTGCCAACAGTCTTTGAAAATGAGTTCACAAAAGAAACGAGTAAAACTGCATTCCTAGTCGAGTGCCAACGTCCATATTATTCTAAAGGAAGATCTATTCAATTGCAAAAAAATCTGCTCCAAATGGAATTTTTGATTTTGTTTAATCCAATTTCTGGTTTATATTTATCGATGTGTCAATAAAGCAAAATTCAATTTCGCGAATTGCGAATTTTGCATTATTTACAAATACACGTCACTATGGATAAAAGAAAAAAACCTCATACCTCTCGCACTTGTTTTCTTTGTTCCAGACTGGTATCGTTTCCATCCCCCACCGCATACAGGGTACTATTCCAATCGTTGTAATTGTCATGTTGTTCCTCGACGTTAATCAGCAAAGTGGCTGGAGAGTGATGTTTCTCAAAATAAACGCCGCTCCAAACGATTACCACCACAATGGATACAATACCCGAAGCTGCCGTTTTTGACATATTTTAAGTATCCCAATTGACACACAAAAAAATTGAAAATAATTACTTCGTTTTCTTTTCTTTCAGAATGCCAAAGTTATATTATCTCGCATTCCGTGGTGAACTCACTAATATGACTGCATTAAGAAAAAGAAGTCGAACGAAGAATTGGCACGTCATTTTGATTATTAAGAAAGACCTTGATTGCATGGGGTCTCCTGTGAAGTGATTTCCCAAGCAAAGGTTATCTTAAAAGAACTTAGAAGAATCACAGAAAAATTCTTTATCGGGATTTAATACATCTCGCCCACGAACACTGCATTTTACGTTTCTTGCTAGTAAAAATTTAGTTAATTCACTATCTGCAGATCATTGGCAAAGGGGGAAGATGGAAAGACTTGTATATACAGGACGATTTGCGGGAGAAAGTATAAGACCTCAGGACACGAGGATAGAACGGTTCGATGCCGTTGCAGCTCTCTAAAATATTTTTTTTCAAATTCGGCACGTTATTTTTCGTTTCCGTACGCCTAATATACGTACCCAAAATTTGGACAAAATCCGCCGAGACACGTAATGGTGATGTTTGAAATCAGAAAAAATCAAATGACACAAAAAATTCCATAAGAAAAAACAAAATTGATGATGGTTAATCGAAAACGTCAAACTTAAAATTTAAAACTAGCATTTTGTAGAGGGAAAAAGTGGCCATAATAATGTGTCATTTATTTGGAAATATCTTCGGTAAAAAATAAAAACGATTTTTTAGGATCTCCGAAACCAGTCGGAATTTTTTCAGTTTGAAAACGGCATTTTGTTAAGCATTAAAATAGGCCAAATTTGAACAACCTACCCATTTCTTACAGTTTCCGAGATCCCCATGGTGGCTCTCGAATTTGAATCGACTCTTCCCTTGTACACCTTCCCCCCTCTACTTCTTTATCAAAATTAATGCGCGTTGCTGAATAACTGAAGGCCTGTGTTTTTTCGACAAAAAGAAACATCTGCTTGTCTTGAAATTAATTAGTTTTACGCGGCGATAGCGCACTCTTATCGCACTGACCGGAGATAAACTTTTACAATAACAACTCGCAATTATTTCCAAACGCATAAACTTAATCCTTTAACACGTAATTAAACTTTACAAATACAAATAAAGATAAACAAAGCAATTATTTAAACACAAATCAAACATCATTAAATAAATAATTCTAAATAAAATCAATATTGATTCAAATTCACATGATATGATCGAAATTCATGTTTAATCTAAATTATCGTCCATATTCACGTTATCAAAGGTACTATACCAAAGAAAACGTCTGCACGACGTAGTTTAACAACCATACACTGCGTCCCAAAAACAATGTATACATTCTATGGGTACCTTTTTCCGAGAATCCGAATCTGTTATCAGAATTCCATAACACGCTAGATGCAGAAATTTCAGGCTACTACTTTCTTATTTTTTATGGACGCCATATTGGATATTTACGCAATGAGATAAAGACCAAAAAATAAAAATAATGACGTGTCACACTCTATACCTCGCTCTATACTTTTACATAAATTTACTAGTAGTAGTAATTTTCAAAATCAAATGTTTTCTCAACAAAACAGCCACGGATATCTAGAACTTGCTCAATCAACAATGGCGATGCATTCAAATGAATTTCTTTTTTTCATAAGAAATAAGAAACTAGTAGCCTGTAGCCAGAGGTGGGAAAGAGTGAAACACTTGAAAATTGCTTAATTTGACCTAATATAGCATCCTCATAAATGATCAAATATAAAGAAAGGTGGTTGGTATTCGGAATTATGTCAACTATTCAAATTGGGCAATTTCAAGTTTGTGCATAAATTATGGTACAAGGTGCCCAAATTAGTCGTTAGTATGGGGTAATGCTTAAACAATAAGTAACAGAAAAATTGACCTCGCACTCCCGATATAAGTATTTCTTTGAGATAAACTCGACGATGTTGAAAACCAAACTGGTCTACAGTCTTTTGAGTTATGGACAAAAGTTTAATTTTCCAATTTTGAGATAAAAGCCTCTTTGTTTATTGAGTTATCGGAAATGTGTTTATTACTAATGATTGTTGCATAATTTTCAGTTTTCAAAATAAGTATACGGGGTCAACTAAACAAGTTATCGGACGTAACCTCATTTTATTAAATGGAACACTCTGTATATTTGAATCTTTTTTTCCTTTGGGATCGGCTGTGAAAAATGTTTGTTTCCTGAAAAGTGTGGCAGAGTGCAATCGGGCCCCTTGCAATGTACCTCAACCTTATTCAATCGTGTAGATTTGGAAGTTCCCCCCAGGATTCGAGTTGTTTCTTCTCACGTTCACCGGATGTAACATCACCTCTGCGCTTTTCTGGCATGGGTCCTCCATTCAGAAAAACGTTGAACTTCAGCTGAAGTGTTCATCCAACCTAATTTAGCCTACCAAGCCATCACAGATACGGAAGTGATTATTTCCAAAGTTATGAAAGATATCAAAAGTGGACACCCTGTATACATAATAGTAATAGTGGGTACGTGGAAATCAATCTAAAATGATGCAACCTAAAAATAAGCCAATAGTGTGGCGCAAAGAAATAGTAAAACACGCTGTCAATAGAACTTACTCACCATTAAAATTAGGAAGATTTGGATCTTTTACAGGAAAATCATTGTTTTGCAACAGTTACTATCATTGTTAAAATAAATTATGCAAGCGTGATTACATAGAATACGGATCAACAAATCGATAACCATGGGGTTAGGAGGGCATGAGCACATTGTACTTCTATTTAAAGCAAGATTCGAAGAATTATGCATAGGGAAATTTTGTGACACTCGCGGAACCACAACTTGTAATCCGGTCATATTGAATAGGATTCTTAAACCTGTAGAAATCGATTGGCGAAGGTTTGACATCGCCGTCTCTTGGCGTTTTCGAGTTAGATGAGGAGCAGACGGACGGACAAAATCATCACATAAAGGAATTTATTTCGAAAAATTCCCCTAAAAAGGAATGGTAGAATCAATTGAAAAACGTTGCTGTGCTTATTGTTTCATACATACCGGATATTTAAAGTTTGTTTGGTTAGCTTTGTGAAATGCAGGTAAAAAATTTAGAAGGCATTAATCATACCAAACAGCTGGTCCAGAAACAATCCTTTTCAATATATTTGCCAAGAAAAATCTTGACGATTACTGTGCGCATGCGCAAACTGCACAATCTCAACTTTCTTATTTATAGCGGCATTTTTTGAAATTTTAGTAACGTTAGCTTCTAGTAAAGGCAAATATCGCATATAGTAGATGTGAACATGCGCAATGCCAACTTTCTCGTTCATGGAGATATTTCTTTGAATTAAAGTAAAGATACACATCGCATTATATTATATATTATTATATAGTATCAAATTAAATGTGCGCATGCGCAAACAACTTAATCTCAACTTGGCCGCTTCTTGAGACGAACATATCGCATAATACAAATCAAATGAGACTGCGCAATGTCAACTCTCATATTTATGGATATTTTTTGTAATATTAACCGCAGGTGCTTCTAATAAAAGCAAACGTAGCGCCAATATGGAACTCAAAAACGCACATGCGCAGCGTGAACTTTCCGATTAATTAAGATATTAACCACAAGAATGAAAATATCCAAAAATAGTCCCAATACGTAAACAAGAAGAAAAGAATTACACAGGAAAATCATACAAAATACCTCGGTGACCATAAGTGGAAGGTTCCAATACCATAGTAGATAGTTTTTAAAAAATTTAAAAATTTCAGCACCGTATCGGTTGCTACCAACATAGTATCGATAACTCTCCGTAAGTCGATATTTGCAAATTTATTAATAACTGTTGATATAGCGATGACTACCGATGTCGATAACTCCATAACCATATCAACAAGGTTCATATACGCGATAACCTAAACATACTATTTTAATAATTAGAACAAATTTGACATCTACAGGATGACTTGCGACCATTAACTGGATTACAGTTTTAGTAATAGAGCAGTGTATAACATAAATTGCATACAAGAATTTGATTAATAAATATAATAGATCGTCCATTCTGTGGTTCGTTGCAGAAGTAGAAGAAAAGTTGCTACTGGCATATATGAATGAAATGTCAAAGGTACTTAAATCTTCTATCTATCAGTGCATTCATTCAAAACTTCAAACAAAGCTTGCGATTAAAAAAATGGAACAGTTCTGACAGGATACCCTAAATTACATGCGTTTTATAACTTTTGAATTAACATAATGTCAATAAGTTAGCCCCCCACTACATCCAATTTCTTTCTAAACCATTTCAGAATTAGATGCTAATTGCGCGCTACCAATAACAAAAATTTAGTGCTTTGGCCGATCGGTACAAAAGAAATTTTTATTTGGGGGCTTATGTTAGCCCCAACTTAACATTAAGCTACATCCCCCCAATAGAAAAAAGTATCGTAGGAAAATAATTAATCTGCTATAAAATTTTATTGCTATAGTTAAGTACAAACTAAATATTTAAAAAAAACATAACACAACAAAACAAATTATCTGATCAAGTAGAAAAGTAAATCAAAATCAAAGTCACTGATGGACACTGGCCTTTAATAACACACGACTCTCTTTCATTAAAGGTACTGTAGTGAGACAGGATTAAGATACTCGGATTATTATACCACTCACCTTCTTTCAGACTTAGGCCTCCTAGGTGATAGTGTTAGGATCCTAAATTTTACGTATGTCTTGTGATATTTTAAAATACAAATTTAGAGAAGTAGCACAGAGACAAATTAAATTAAAGACATCGTAAGAGTTAATTAGGTCTATTCATTTACATAGTCCACAAAAACACTTTATAATAAATTTGCCATAGAAGACTATCTCCCTTGGCAATTAGAAAACGTACGGGGGTTTCTGAATAGTTAAATCGCATTTTATACCAACAAATGATAAATTGAAGAATTACAAGCTTTTTGTCATTTGAAAACACTTCAATGCATATTCATGAAGTGATCAAATTAAATATGAGTCAATTATAAGAGTAGGAATTAATTAATCCGTTCAGGTAAGGTTCAGCTTGCGTTATTAGCAAACTTAATTCCATTTCCAGGTACAAATAATTGAAAGTATAGTTTCACAGGGCTTAAACATTCATTAATAATAAAGGACATGCGCAAATCGGTAACTCCTAACTTTAATTTATTCCGTCCCTGACCACCGCCCCCGTCTGTTACATTTATTCATACCAGACCACACACAGATTTATATAGGATTATAGCTATTTACAAATATTATATCTCTAATACAATTAATTAATGTTAACTGAAAGGAATTTACCTTGTAGTGTAGTAAGTATTCCAAAAGTTACACAAGTTGCCCGCTTAAGTTGCACATCTTTCTTTTGTAAACGGATATTTTTGACTACCCCCAGAACGCTTTCTCCGCAAGTTAAAACTAACCATTCCTTTCGAAGTTTTTATGTTTATTACTGTTTTTGTTGCACAGCCAAATTTAGTCATTCGTGCATCGTAAAGTAGATTTCTTGAAGTGAACGTCACGTTTATGCTTTTATACACTGATTTGTACGGGAAATCCGTGGTCAAACAAAAAATTTGTTTTTGTTTAGGTAATGAAAATTGAATTATTGATTCTTATTTAGTATTGATTACGGTTTTAGTATACGATTCACCCGAGTGTCCATACCGCAATCTTTTGTGCCGCGCGATTCACTATCCCTCTTGTGTGTTTTTGTTGTTATCTGTTACAGATAACGCAGAAAGCGCCCTTCTGAGCTCACAAGGCTGTTACAAACCTGAAGTTCAAAGGTAAATATTTTTAATTTCCGCCGTATAACGTATAACGTTTGATACAATCGAACTGTAATTACTGCATTTCTTGATAGTCATTTATCCATTATAGCTTCGTTGTTTTCTGCGGATGCCTGTTTTGATGTTAATAATTTCCTTGACTACGTGCTGATCCCCTTTTTGTTAAATATTGATTTAAATTTAAATATTGACATTTCAGATCTAGACTGTAATATTTGTGATATTTTTGAGATCATTTAATTAATTACCCTCGACTGTGACATCAATTTTTGTTTATATCCTACTCTGTCGATTATTCTTTTTCTTTACCATATCAAGACCAGAACAAGGATCGATTAGCTTGCTTCCCCCTTTCGGTAAGTATTCTCTTTTCTCTTTTGAAATTGACTGAGGATTAGTGGCGCCTATTCGGTTTACTATTACTACATTTCCCTTTTGCTTCGTTTCACACAACACGCAAATATTTGTTTCAGCAAATTAACGTTTGGCGTGTTGCAACAAATTTGCAACTATAAAATGTGATGTATATCGTTGAGAAAATTTCACCATCTCATCGTATACAGGGTGTTCTCATAAGTATACAAAAAAAAAATCGCCAAAGAAGCATTTTTCCAAGGATTCAAAGCGTTACGTTTGTAAGATAGTCTCCATTTTTTTTCTCAGCAACCATCCTCGTATGTGCTATGGTTTCTGATAAACAATAAAAGAAGTAACACCAATGTTTAGGAGCGTAGTTCTCAAACCAAACATTTTGACCCTTCCATATTTCTGGTTCCTATAACCAAACAAATCTTACAGCAATTTGCAATTGTTCGATTAAAAAAGAATACGTCTTCATTATAGTTCTTAACTAAAATGTAATAAGGTTTCCTTCATCAAGAGTTTGCAATTTAAGTTGGGCGTTATAGGTTTAGTTCTCGAATAGTCCTCATTTCCTGAAAATGTAGTAGTTGGCAACGTGACAAATTCAACTGTCTTTATGGGATATTTTCCGAAATTTATAAAATGACGTCGGTAAAGTTTAATTAGAAAACCTTTCGGAGGCAGGCGAAAAGTATTTTTATTAGACGTATACGGCTGAAGTTTTCGCGTTTTATTTGTTGAAGTCGAAACCTCGAGAGTCGATAAATATTTGCACTTCTTCTCGCTGGGCAATTAATCTCGCTGTTTCGATGTTAAGAAAAGTTCCGCGGATTCCAGTTGCAAATACGATTAGATAAGCAAAATTAATGTTTTACCCTCGCAATTGCATGTCGATAACGCTGTTTTCCATTTAAAGTAACTTTTGATGTCATTTTTAATAATAAAATGGAATGACTGATGTTAAATTAATAGATCTGGATTGCTCCAAGTTGCATCCTGTTATTTATTTGCTTTTTGATCTCAAACTCAGATTGCGAATTTCTATTGTATACTAAATTCGAGTTTTCATTAATGTTCGAATCTCGTGCTCGATAAGTTTGTGTTTTATTTAAATTGAGGTTAAGAATGGATATTGCGGGTATTTCTCAAATTTTCGCAATTATACTATTATGTAAGGAAAGCGTAAGTACGCCGTTTAATTATGTATATGCAAATAACGCCACCGAAATGAATAGAATACCAGACTGGTAGTAAAGAAAATCGAGAATTGCGATCCAAAATTTAATTACCCCTTCAAACTGTCGGTGAGAACATACAATCGACCAGATGCTCAATATTTTGACGTCAACTGCACCTGGCCCGTGGACATGGATTCCACTATCGGCGTAAGTGAATCTTCTCCTCCCTTTCATTCTCATCTTTGAATTCCATATAGGTAACCATGCAATTCGATTACGTTCTTGTAGGCCGTAGCATGCCCATTTTAAGAGCCAAAGAAAATTATCTCTGCGACTCTGCGAATAAGTATCTCGGAGAGCCTTGGTACGACGCTTGTCGCCAAGCAAACATTCCGGTCAAGAAGTGTCCAATACCAAAGGTAGAGATACCGCATAAGTGAGCTGTTAACGACTTTTCCGTTGCAGGGATTTTATCAGCTGAAGAACTTTAAATTTGACTCTGAAAAGATGGGCGTCAAGTCTTTGCCGTTTGGTATGATCACTTCCAAAAGCGTCATTTTTAATAACCGCAATCAGGATATTCTTGCTTGCATTATTGCTGAGGTGGACAATATAGAGAAATGAATTTTAGATCTGATATTTGGACAATAAATTATATCAACTGTAATAGAGTCCGCTTTCCTTTGGACGATTTAGGTGTAATTTTTGCACAAATTAAACAATGCACGTTGGAAAAGCAATAAAGAGAAAAGAGGTATGGGTAGATTGCGCCGGTAATTCACTAGTCCGGCAATATAAAACGAGATGCGAAGAATCGCATACGATTTTCAGTAGGGGATTTTTGTGGCAATCGGCTCTCATTCGGAAACCAGACTTTTAATCCGGCTCATATTCAATAGCACTGATCCTTCAACTCGTAGAAATCGTCAACTCTTTTCGTTCTCGAGTTAGGCGAGGAACAAACGGACAAAACCATCACATAAAAAGCATAACATTCAAGTAGGTAAGTATAATTAATGATTTCTATTGCATGTGTTTCTTCGATATTTTTAAAAATAAGAGACTCTCTTCATATCGGGACATGGACGTTGGACACCCTATGTAATTTGTTGAAAATACTCCCTATTCTCTCTATTCCCAAATCTTAGGACATTTGTGGTTGTGGAGAAAACTAAATTTTGGAACCAAATGGTCCTGGGTTTATGCCAAAAATCCCATCTTCGGTTGTAAATTTTTTTTTTTTTTTACACTGTGTCCAAGATAAGGATGTATAGGGATATTCGAAACCACAGAAGATATGCCGATGATCAAATTAGAAAAAAACATGCGCAATTAAAGGGTTATGATTGATTAAAGAAAATCAGAAAATTCCGAAGAAGAAAAGCGGAAATTTGCCGATATTTTTTTTGGAGGCTATTAAATTGGATTCATTAAATACGTAATTGGCCGAGCAGATGCCTGTTGCGTCTCCAGCTCTCTAATTACCCTCTAATATCCCTAAATTTTCAATTCCGTCCCGTCGGTCTGTTTTCTACATCTCAAATTTTTATGATTTGAAAAGCCAATACATTTAGCAGCACAATAAGTATTGATAAAGATCCAGGATGTCGTTTTCACCTCAGCCAAAGTTGGTATAGAAAAATCTCTTGGTCTTTGGGAAGAGTACTAATGAGACAAAAATACGATACAACTGAATACCGACCGATACTCGAGATCTTCACGCATCGATCTTTTTACAACACACCTTCAGCGGCCGATTCTGACCCACGATAACAGCATAGCTTTTAAAACATATTTTTTATTAGGCATTAGTTTTACTTTTATTCGAGATGCCTACATATACAGGGTGTTTCATAATTGAATGTCAATATTTAAGGGGGTCCATTTTAAAAAGAAAACTTCATATGAACCTATGTCCTAAACGTATTAACTTTTGAGATACACGGTGGTAGTTTTCAAAATAAATCATTTATTATCTCGTTTTTTATTAATATCTGTAATACCACTTTAGATATTTTAATGAGTGGCGTTCGTACGGAATTTCACATACAGACAATGATGGTACGCCACTGATTTCTCTGAAAATAAAAATTATTCTTGAAACCCCCAATCATTTCTAAGTAAATTTGATCCCTTTGCTTTTTTCAATCCGGTGCACGGTTTTCGCTTAAAAAAATAAAAACTCGTCAACAGAATTAATAATTGTAACAGGCGCAGCCTACTACAATGATAAGTATTGAAAAAGTTTCAAAATTCGAAGTACGAAGCATGAGCAGATTTAATCGCTTGATTTTTTCAATTCGTCGCACGATTTTAAAAAGAAAATCTTTTATCTGCATGATATTGTCATGATCATGCAGAGAAACGGTTTTTATTTTTTTAAGCGAAAACCGTGCATCGAATTGAAAAAAACAAAGGGATCAAATTTGCTTTTGTTTACATCAATACAGGTACGATTTTTTTTGTTTGTAAGTTTAATTGCTTTTACCCAAAATCGTCCTGAAACCTTCATTTTCATGCCTACTTTATTTATTTTATTTTTTAAATTTTATTTTGCCTTTATTTTGGAGTGGGCGGGGTTTCAGCCAAGGCCAAACCAATCCACCATACGTTTACAAATATCCATGCCCGAACCCGGATTCGAACCAGGGACCCTTAGCACCACATTCCAGCTTTAACTGAACTGCACCACACGAGCTTTCTGTCAGGAAATTTTACTTTCCATGACAGAGGCAGATCAGACTACGTTTCCTGCCGCTTGTCACTTTACTGGCCGCAATTGTGACATTGCCAAATGTCTATAATGACCACCGTCATCACTGACAGTTTGACATGAATCAAAAGTTCTATATGAAAATTGAAATTTTATATTAAAATACGATTTCGGGTAAAATTTAATATAAAACTCGTCAGTAAAATGGCATTACCTGACTCGGAAATTAAAGTCGGCCCCATTCAATATTTCCTCGCCAGTAATTTTTCATTTTTGTGACTTTTATGTAAATATTTGTCACTTCCGAGCCGGAAATTGATTTACTTTTCGATTTCTAAATAAAACACCCTGTATCTGAAAAAGCAAAACATCTCTTTGATAAACTTGGATTCCGCCAAATCAATGACTCAACGCAGTTGTAGTTATAGATAGTGTAGGGATTTTATAAATGTTTTACTTTCAAAAATCGATGGGGTGGTTATCAAAAAATGTTCTTTTTTAAATTTTCGATCGATCGCTATTTTGTTCTTTGGAAAAATAAAAATAATAGTAAAATTTTTATGTTTTTTTCAATAGTCCTTAAAATAAGGGAGTTTTCGAAAAACAAAAGAGCGCCAACAACTTCGAACCGGAGCACCAAATCAAAAATTGGAACTAAGAAGTGTTTTAATTACTTACACTATGGTTCTAACTGCCAGTTTCGGGTGTAACAGCTTAGTATTAACACCGAGATTAACACCCTATATACAGGGTAGAGCAACCAAGGTAAGTTTACATACAGAGAGAGTACCAGCATGAAATCGAATCTAATCGGAGTAAGTACCAAAACACTGTTGTTAAATCAATACATATAAATAAATAAAATCGTTTAATTTTGTTGTAAAGTTAACACGTTAGAATAAGATAAACTCAACCTTTTTGTCTTGTTTCAACATGAGTTCACCAGTCTTCCATTTGCTAATGTATTCAACATATTTTCTATTAAATCAGATCGTGCTCTGGATGTATCGTTAGAAACATGCTCGTTTAGTCATCATCAAAATTGCATGATCCTTGGCCAGTAATTAAAATTACTGTAAATTAATTTTATTTCAGCAGAATTTGGTGACGACAACATTAGATACATTTTAAATCAAGATCAGGATCGCGAATTCCAACAAGATGGCGCAACAGCACATACTACCAAAATTCTCACATAAAAACAATTAGAATTAAGTTTTGTGAATAATATGCAAAAAATGTATATTATTCAAACATACCTTTGGAAATTACACAAAAGGAATTACTTAAATCTCCGTAATAAAAAAAATGTCTGAAGTATGATTTGAAAGTATAACAAGTTTTCCTGTTTTCCATACATAAAAAAACTAAAGCATAACGAACGATATTTGCTTACCGTTCATTGAATCGTTGACGAATATATTCTGATGATTAATTACCTGAAACAAACGAAACTTATATTAGACATGCGAGTTATTATTACTTCAGGAAAAAATGCGTGCGCTTTCTCTTAGGCTGTAGTTTTGAGTTATATCACAAAGTGGTGAACAACACCTATTCTATTACGTACGGTTTTAAGATGTTTTTTTTACTCGTGATCTCATATTTTTGCTCGAAGATGTTTGTTAAATTTTGTCATTGATTGCCAGGTACAATAAACGGATCACTTTATCTTTAAAATGTATTTAAAAAAATATTAAAAATTGACTTTTACACTGGCCATGTTTTTTTTGAAAATGTTTATATTACAAATAACCACTCGGCTCGCCCAAGTTTATAAAAGACTCAAAAATTACTGGGTTCATAAACACACGTGACAATTCCAAAAATTTAAAAGCCTAACATGGCTTAAATTAAATCTAGCCAAAACAAATTAAATGTTCATCAACAAACAAAAATTAAAGGAAAATGTCGGTACGCGGACTCCTTTTTAATTGTTGGTTATGATGATTTAATTAAATTAACCACAAATCATTCGTAATAGTCCTTTCACATAAACAATAAAACACTACTTTATACAAAGTCAAGGCAGAATTCCTCATTATTCGTGGTTAATAAGAGTTAGAGTTTTAAAAAAGGGGGGTTGAATTAAATTAAAATAGTTTAAACGATTTTTTCAATTCAATTTCTAATGTTAATTTTTGAACTCCCTTATTTATCAGCACAATATCAATACACTTCAAAAAGGAAACCAACCCGAATCAAATATTACAATGCCAAAACGGCTCAATAGGTATATGAGATTATTCACGGGAGGTATATGGAATGTTACATAGAATATAAAAATAAAATCAATATACAGGACGTTACAATTAAGATACATTGTTATCTTAGTAACCGTGAGATATGGAGGATAGAGAGTTGGTTAAATAGAGGCAATTTAATGCTGAATAATTTGTTAAAAAGAGACAATTATTTTACTTCCGGAGATTTACCAGAAAATCAATTTTCGTTTTTATTTGTCTACGACTTTATTATTGGATTAATTGGAAAAACCAAGAGCACTTTCTTAACGTACTTTTCCGATGCGATGTTTCGGCTTTAACATCAACTCTATTTTTTTAAATACGGACCTGGATTTTTTATGATCTCCAAAAACAAATGATGTATAAAAACTCTCTATCCAAAGCAAGTCATTTGAAGTGTCTTTCAAAATTGAAGGGTAGGCCTTGACTCCTAAAAATGAACTTTGTAACAATTTGTTACAGTACAGGGGTTGATAATCCTCGCTCGTACAAAATAAAAAATTAACTTTCTACTGCACTGACGAATTTTTACTAACGCAAATTATTAAACCGACGGCTAGCTCCCAAACAAATTCTTATGCTGTTATCTTACCTTTTTTCTCTAAATTTAAAAATTAAAACTTACAGCTCTGGTTTGATTGCAGACAATATTAAAATGAAATTATTAACGAAATAAAATCGATCCAAATTCCACTTTCTTTTGCATTTATTT